TTTATTACAATACTTACGTGAATATGATTTTGAGAATATCACCAAGCACACCGTTTTCGCTTAAAGCATATTTTGCAGCTTGACAAATTACTTTCAACAAACAATCTTGTCCAGGATAGTCCAGACTGTTGTAAAACACATAGCTCGCATATGCTTCGATACACCGTGTGTAATATTTTTCACCCCCGATACACGTGTTGACTTCGGATTTCTCGAGGGTAGTAATACATGAATATGGTNGATCAATCATTCATTTTTCATCTACTAATGCGTCTCGTACTGTGAGCAACTTGTTAGCTTTATATTTATATTAATCATTTGCGTGTATCGAGAGGTACACATGTAAAGCGTGTGATTTGCCGAGCAAATCGAGAGGATATTCACCTCTATTGGAAAACATCTCTCGTTTTCTTAAAAAAATTCTTCACTTATTACTTTCTCTTTGTCTTACTTTAAAAAAATATATATGTAGAAAATAATATCTTCAGAACAAATAATTTGTCATTCTCTATCATTTTTTATAGATATTCTTTGCCTTGAGTATTCTCGTAGACATATTCCCNACAAATCTGTATCGACGTCGTTTTATTTCGAGGCGAATTACGAATTGCCAAGCGAATGGAATTCCACTTACTACTATTACGACAAAAGTTATTTCGAAAAAGGAAGTCTCAGTCGTCAACTGATATACAGCTTGTTCACAAACAAACTGGAAAGGTAACAAAACTGTGATTAAAACCACACACACGCAGATATATTCTCTACCAACACGTATGTATTTCGAAACCTCACTTCTAATTACACGTGTGATCGTTAAGCTCAAAATATACGCTGGTAAATAATGAAATTAGTGTGTTTTACAACAGTCTGAGCTATCCTGGACAAGATTGTTTGTTGAAAGTAATTTGTCAAGCTGCAAAATATGCTTTAAGCGAAAACGGTGTGCTTGGTGATATTCTCAAAATCATATTCACGTAAGTATTGTAATAAAGAGTATATTTGAAAGTTTTGATGTAAAGAGAAATAAAGAGCGATGTCGATATAAATTACAATCAACGAACAAATAATGTAAAACAATTAAATTTGCATTGCAGACCTTTCACGTCGAGAAGCGAGGAGCTTCCGAATGACATCACGCAAGCTGTGCACGAGCAACTTTGCGATCAACGTTACGAAAACTGTTCTCTGAATCCTTTAGATTTAATAATAAATAATAATAATAATAAGTCATTACGTCGATTATATTAAAAATCTACACAAAATTCGACACAATATTCGATACGTATTGAAAATAAAAGACTTGCATAATATTTCGTCCGTTATTTATATTTATTTATTTATTTATTTATTTATTTATTTATTACCCCTGCCTTTCTTTCTTTATTTTATTTTACACGCTAATAAATAATCAAGCGAACAAGAGCACAAGATTTACGCGCAATAGTCTTGGTCGTTGGAAACTATGTAAACGCAGAAAACGAGCTGAAATCGAGCGAAGGTACCAGGGAAGTATGTCTAGCGAGTAGGTATACGCGCCAGCTCCTGGGCGTATACCTCCTCGTATATATAGCGCGCTTGACTCCACCCCGCCCGCCATTACGGAGCACGCGGCGGCCATTATAGGCGCTCGCGTCTCAGCCAATCACCGNGCGACTCACGGCGCCTGGTAGGCGATGGNGGNACGCGTAGCCGCGCCCACAGATACCTCTCGCGTTACCTCTTCGCTCTACGTGTGATCCTGATACTTTCAGCGAATTTTCGAGGCTTTCAGAGAACGCGCAACTCACCTTATTCGCTCAATTCTCTTGCTATTTCTCTCTCTTACTTAATTCTCTTACATTCTTTCAATAATTTGTCAATCTTTAAACAATAATTTGTACATTTATTATAAATATACGTATGTATATTAAACATACTATTTATTAGTAAGGATTAATAGAAGTATGTATATACAACGTACATGTAAAAATAAACAGTTATGATAATAATGTAAGTAATCAATTTTGATGCATATAAATTTATAAATTATATGTGCAATATAACTTATAAATTATATGTATATGCGATATGATTTATAAATTATACATGCGTCACAATAAAATGTATAAGTAATTATCATA